CTACTTTGCGTCTTCTCTCGGATCTAACAATTTTTCCTCCTTCATTCCCAGCCCCTTCGTTTTTCTGGTTTTGCTTAAATTCAGAGCGCTGTGGGATTCCCCTTTCCTCGGGCACTGGAGGTAAATCCTGCCAGAGGTCTGACTGCAATCGCTTCCATCCCTCCGGAGCAAGACAGTGGGGAAGGGGATTTGTGCTTTGGGGTACTCGAACCTGCGGTGTACCCCACTTTCCCTGTGCCCCTCCAGGCTGGGGCTGCCACGGTGGCAACACCCACAACAGCACAGGCATCATTAGGAGGGACCGAAAGGAGGCATTATCCAAAATTCACATAGCAGTCAGGCTTCTAATTGCATCCAAAAAAAAAGGGAATTTTCTTGAATTCCCATTAAACATCGCAGGAAAGTTCATATTAAATTAAATTTAAAAAATCAACTACCAACCCTACTTCATCTTATTCCCGAGGGTCCCCATTCCCAATTCGATCCCTCCTTCGGAAACACACCCTCACAGGGAACAGAGCCGGACTTGGGTCTCACTTTGCTTTGGGTTTTTCTCGCTGCAGGAAAATGTTTGCTCGCCCACCCTTTCGAGGCAGACGAGAAGAAAGCCGACCCCTGCCACCACCCCAAGACCAAGCAGCGACAGCGGAGAAAACCCCGAGTTTTATTCTCCCAAGCTCAGGTGTTCGAACTGGAGCGGCGATTTAAGCAACAGAAATACCTCTCTGCTCCGGAAAGGGAGCATCTAGCCAGCGTGCTCAAACTCACCTCCACGCAGGTGAAAATCTGGTTCCAAAACCGGAGGTACAAATGCAAGAGGCAAAGGCAGGATAAATCCCTGGAGCTGGCTGCCCACCCGCTGCCCCCGCGGAGGGTGGCAGTGCCCGTGCTGGTCAGGGACGGCAAACCCTGTCTTGGGGGCTCCCAGCCCTACCCAGCTCCCTACAGCATCACCGCCAGCCCTTACTCCTATAGCTCCTACTACAGTGCCTATAGCAGCAGCCCGTATGGAGCTAGCTACGGGGGGAACTACGCCAGGGTGCCCCCCACCGCCGCCCCCGGCAGCCCTGCCATGAACGTGAGCTTGGGCATGGCCAGCGCTGCTCAGCACCAGCCCGCATGCTTGCAAGCCACCGTGCAAGCGGGGATCAGGGCTTGGTAGATGGCCGTGGAGGTCAGGATTGCCTGAAAAGCACCGAGGAAAGCCCCCTCTGCTCCAGAGCCCAGCCTTCGTGGGGATGGGAGCCGAATCCGGAGGGTTTCTGCCACCCCGGGCAGTGGGATGACTCCAGAGCGTCCGTCCCCTCCAGGCAGCTCGTGCGGTCACGTCTCTGCAAAGGCGGGTCGGGAGAGAAGGGGACGCTGCCGCTCTGGTGCTGCAACTTTGGGGACCCAATGACTGAGGGCATTTATTTATTTAAACGCAAATGTTTCGGAGCCTGGCCCTTCCCGCTCCCAGAGGGTTTGCTCCTCCAGGACGCCAGTGCCCGGCCATCAAGAGGGCACGAACACTGCCTTTCTTCCTCAGGACAACTGGAAAACAGGGTCTGAGCACAGTGCTTGTGCATTCGCTTTTTTATGAACATTATTTAACGCTTTGAGTTCCTCTAATCTTTTGAGATACATTTCTGATTTATATTCTTAATATCTTCCCAGCATAGGTGTTAATTTCTGTCTTTATAATTATTATTTGCAAATAAAAAACAAATCGGCGAAACTGTGTGTTTTCCCTCGCTCGCCATTCCTCACTAAGTATTTTGACTTTTCCCATCCACAATTTGCATTTGAGCATCAAAATCTGATCCAAAGGAAAAAAAAAACCCAAAATCAATCTTAACACTAATTAACCCAGAAAGGTAATTGCCTTGTAGTCCAAGCTTGGGGAGCTCCCAGGGTTTAACCCCCTCCCTAACTCTTGGCAAGTGTTTTCAGCTCTCTGTTGCTATTTCCTTACTGGTAAAATGGGTTTGCGGGTACGTCGTGGGGCAGCTGCGAGGGGCAGCTCCGCAGTTTTGGGGTCACACGGTGGGTTGGTGTCGTCTGAATTACACCAACGCCACCCGTGCTGGACCAAGAGGTGCAGGATCCCCAAATCAGGATCCAGCGGCGTCCAGTGCCTCGCTGGATCAAAGCACTGTACGTATATTTATATATATCTATATCTATATCTATATATATGAAATGCTGGAGGGCTGAATGCCATTGCGGTGTCCCAGGGGGGATCAAAGGGGAGCACAGCCACATCCCGAGCAGGCAGCACAAATCCACGGCCTCACAGTTACAGAATAAACCCAGTGAGACCTTGTCAGACCGACCCACTCATCAGGCCGCCCATGGCCCCCGGTGCAGGCTTTACTGGTATCGGGGAGGGGGCAAAAACCACACAAAGGCCAATGCCTGATGCAAAATACTGGTTTAACGGAGATCTTTCCACTACGATGCCAAGATATCCCAGTGACGGAGCCAGACAGAAACCTGCACACAACTCCCACCGCACGGGACCAGCAAAATCTTCCCCTCGCAACCTCTGTCCCCCCTCGGGGCTGCTGCCCCCTCCTCTCCGCTCCTTTCCCGACAGCTTCTTATCCTCCCAGCGTTTGGCGAAAAGAGACTTGCAGGAGACAATTAAGCTTTTCTCCCTAATCGCGCTCAGCCCCATCACTCCAGCTTTCGCTCGTTTCCCAAATGGGATATCCCTGACATCCAAATCAAACCAGAAAAAACCCTCCCGGCACGATAGCTTGCTCGCCGTCCTGCCGCTCCGAGGCTTTGCAGCCCCACCGAGACCCTGGAAACGACTGGGTAAGGCGAGAGCCGCGCTGGGTGCTGCCCCTTCTCCTCCCCTTCACCCATCCACACTTACTGGGGAATATCTCCCAAAATCAGCCGAGTCTCGGGTCTCTGTCCTGGCTTTGGAGCAGGCAGGGGACTCGACAGGGTCCTTGTACTGGGAAATGCTGCCGGGATCGGGGAAAGCCCCAGCATCCCCAAGGCATGGGCTCACCTGCACGTCTTAACAGCACTGAGAGCTTTTCCTTTGAGGTTCAGCAATCAAATGAGACAAATCACATGAAACTGCCCCGAAATAAACACAGAAATCAAAGAAGGAAATTGCTACCCTCCCAGCTCAGGAAAAAAGCCTGAAAATGGGAATCATGAGTGCTGAAGGCACCATTTATGCCCCTCCATCTGTTTTGGAGGGGCTTCCCAAAGCCCAGTTCCCGTAGGGTCGGGATACCCTTATAACCCTGGTGTTTGCCGGATCCCCTCCGTCACCTGCCTCTCTGCAGCACGTGCCAGGGCAGTTGCTTTAAACCTCCCCTGCTTCCAGCCCAAATCAGAAATGACCCGCTACACTGACCACCGTAAAAACGAGCATTCCCCAAACACACCCAGGTACACAAACCAGCCCCCATTTCTCCAAAGCCGCCTCCTGAACCAAAACTCCTGTCCTGGGCCAAATTACTCACCGCTTATCAGCTACAAGTTATTTTCACCGAGTGAGCCACGGATGGGGGCACTGGCAATGAAGGGAAAAGAGACCTGACCACAGAAGAACCGTGCAACGAGGCTGCCCAGGACAGACCTACAGACGGAGGGGTCAAGCACACGGACAGCACCAGGAGATTTCGTTACGGTAAAGCCGTGGCAGCCCAGCTCTATTTGCAAGAAAATGCTTCATTGAAATGAAATCATCCCCCTGGAAGGAAGGGAACTGCTCAGCTTCTGGGGAGAGAAACCCTTCTGCTGGGTCTTATGTTCACATCTTTGTGATAGAGCCCAAAATAGTGGTGGGTGCGGGACAGGCTGAGTCCCTGGGGGTGCGGCGGGGGGACCGGCACGTGCTGAGCTCCGAAAACAGCCAGGGCAGCCTGAACTCGGCAGGGGTAGGGTCTCTGCAGGGGGAAAATTTGCTCCCAAATTGGGTGCAGAGTGTCCCCAGGGAGCGGCACGGCTTCCTGCCCCCAGCGAGCATCCCTGCACGGGGCTGCGCTCACCGGCATGCCAACGTGCCTTTGGGCAACCTGCCTTTGGGCAAGCCCTGGTCCTGCCAGGGGACCCACCGGTGCCCCTTGGGGCTCCCCCTCTGTCCCAAGCCCCCCTGGGATCCAGATTAAGCCCTGGAGCGGGCAGGCAGGGAGCCATGGGGCAGCCCAT